TTTCATGGATTTTCCTGCCCAGGCTGGCTTTGAACCTCAGAATTCATCCTCCTGAGTAGAAAGGAGTCGGTAGCTAGGAGCTAGGAGCTACCAACTCCCAGCCCTAGCATGACTTTCTTATCTGAAGATCTTTTTCTTGGACTGGAGATGTAGCTCAGTAGTAGAGAACTTGCCAAAGTATGTGCAAGGTCCTGAGTTCATTCCCTAGCACAGAAAGAGTAAGTCTTCTACTTAATTATATTTGTAAAGACTTTTCCCAAATCAGTGACAGTCATAGGCTCCAGGGATTTAACTTGGATAGTATAATGATACTTAGTTGAAAACTCTATGACTTTATAATGTAGGAGAATCAGAATAACTTCTAAATATCACTACTATATCTGTATTATTACTACGTTATCAATATATCTGGGTTGTTGCCTTTTTTACTTTTTTTTTTTGTTGTTGTTAGTCATGGGGCCTGAACTCTGGGCCTGGGTGCTGTCGGTCGCTCAGCTCTTCAGCTCAAGGCTAGTGCTCTACCACTTGAGCCACAGCACCACTTCCAGCTTCTTCTGTTTATGTGGTGCTGAGGAATTGAACCCAGGGTCTCATTCATGCAAGGCAAGAGTTCTACCATTGAGCCACCTTCCCAGGCCCTGGTTTGTTGCCTTTTAAGGAGATAAAATAAGTTGGTGCCTGGGCTGGAGTGGGGTGGGGAGGAGCATACAGTCACATTTCCAACTCAGTCATCAGAGGTTTTCCTTTTCACATATCAGCCTTCTTCCTTCTTTTAGGTATTTGTTGGAACAAGAGTTTGTTTTTTTGTTTTGTTTTGTTTTTGCCAGTCCTGGGCCTTGAACTCTGGGCCTGGGCGCTGTCCCTCAGTTCTTCAGCTCAAGGCTAATACTCTACCACTTGAGCCACAGCACCACTTCTGGCTTTTTCTGCTTATGTGGTGTTGAGGAATTGAACCCAGGGCTTCATGCATGCAAGGCAAGCACTCTACCACTGAGCCAACTTCCCAGTCCACAAGAGCTATTTCTATTAGGCTTTTCTGCTCTTTTCTTACATGTCTGTAGTGTTTTTTTTGTTTTTGCCAGTCCTAGGGCTTGAACTCAGATCCTTAGTACAGTCCCTGAGCTTCTTTTGCTCAAGACTAGTGCTCTACCACTTGAGCCACATCTCCACTTCTGGCTTTTTTTGGGTAATTTATTGGAGATAAAGAGTCTCAAAAACCTCCTTGCTAGGGCTGGCTTCAAAATGTGATCCTCAGATCTCAGCTTCCTGAGTACCTAGGATTACACAATCCACTGGCATCCAGCTGTAGTTTTTTTTCCCCCTTAAAATATCATTCCTAGTAAAAAAAAAAGAATATCATTACTAATTATATCAATGTTGATCATAATTGGCAAATAAGAACTAAAATATGAAAGTTACTAATAGAAGTGTACTATAGTTAGAAAAAGATCTTTAAACCTGATTTTTTTATTTTAAATGAGTGAAAAAAATACTCAAAATATCAACCCCTTGTGCAGCATTGTTATAGTGGTAAGCAAAGCTACCTTTTCAAATAGTCAGTGAGTGGCCTTGTGTGGTCTAGATGGACATACTCAGGAACCCAGGTGGACCGCAGTAGAGTCCCACTCCTTCTAGAAGGCAGTGGGCTATCTCATCTCGTTCCTGATTTCCACCCACAGGCAGCCAAACAGCTGCTCATTCTGGTTGTTCAGGTTGGGCTGGGAATGTGCTGGGTTGCTGGTATTTTCCCTTGAGGCATCTTGGCAGAGATCCTGGCAACTTGAAGCTTTGGACATCACTGGGGCCAGGCAGGTGGCTGAGCTTTATCACAGGATGAGTCTTACAGGTGTTTCACAAGGCTGGAGATTGAAGCCTGGCATCAGTGTCCGCTCCCTTTACCTGCCAACCTTCCCCAGTTCAGAAACCAAGAGACACCTATGTGCTCCTCTGTGCTTCTCAGATGCCTCTCAATTTATATTTGTAACCAATTTTCTTCTTTTCTCCTTTCTTTCTTTCTTTTTTTCTTTCTTTCTCTTTCTTCCCCTTCCTTCCTTCTTCCCTCCCTCCCTCCTTCCCTCCATTCCTTCCTTCTTTCCTTTCCTTTTGTGCCAGTACTGGGGCTAGAATTCAGAGGGCCTGTGCACAGTTCCTGAGTATTTTTACTCAAGGCTAGAGCTCTGCCACTTGAGCTATGGTTTCACTCCCAGCTTTTTGGTGGTTAATTGGGAATACAAGTCTTACGGATTTCCCTGCTAGGGTTGGCTTTGAGTCATGATCCTTGGATCCTAGCTTCCTGAGTAGCCAGGATTACAGGTGTGAGCCACCTGTGCCAGGCCCAGATTTTCTTTACTAGAAATGTGTAGGGTCTGAAAGAAAGGATTTTCTGATTCTCTTCTGCATCTGGGGAATGGACTCAACTTAGACCAACAGCCAGAAATGAACCTGCATATGCTGGCAGAATTCATTTCCTGTGTTGGAGGCAGAATGATGTAATTAATGGAAAGAGCCCTGGCCTGGGACATTAGGAGGCAGATCCTTCCCAGTCACCCACTTGCCTAGTGACCTTGCTCAGCCCCTCTCCTTCTGGTTCCTCAGTTTCCCACATTTAAAACAGAGGATTGGTGTAGAGGGTCTTAGAGGTATTCTCTAGGTTTACCATCTGTCAGACCTAGGTCCATCATAATCGCCGGGCTTCTGGGATGCCAGGAAGATTCCTCGCCTGTTTCTTTTTTCCAGAAGACTCCCTCCCCCACCCCCGATTTGCTGTTGCCAGTAATTATATTCAGCATACCCCTGAGTAAAGTCTAAAAGTACAGGATTATGATTGCAGTTAAAAATGGTTCTTGGCATGCACTAGTGGCTCACACTTATAATCCTAGTTACTCAGGTGGTTGAGATCCAGAGAACTGAGGTTCAAAGCCAACCCAGGTACAAAGAGTTGGAGAGACTCCATCTCCAAGTTAACCACCATAAAGCTTGGTTGGAGGCATGGCCTGAGTGGTATAGCACCAGCATGTGTGAACAAGCCAGCCAAGCAAGCCTTAAGTTCAAACTCTAGTACAGGCAGACAAAAAAATGGAGCTCCCATCATGACTATGTTGGGTAGTCATTAAACATTAATTAGTTGGTTTTCCCGGGCAGGTGCTGGGGCTATAAATATGAATACGATGGAGCCCCAGCCGGGCAGAACACACAGCAGAGTGAAGACAGATCAATAAATTGATCGTTGCGGTGTGACAGATACTATGACAGGGCTATTTGTAAGGCAGCATGACACATAGAGGATAGACACACATGCACCTGGGGTGGAGTCCAGAATGGCTTCCAGAGGAGATGCCACACAGGCACACCTGAGGCCCAGTAATGCCCATGAAATGTATGGCCCCTCAGTGCTGGGGACAGGTGATAGCATCAGCTAATGAGCAAAGCATCACGAGTTCGAGTCCTGGTCTTGGACAAAAGAAAAATGCAGCTACTTATCAACTCTCATTTCCTTTAATGACAGAATTTCTCTCCTTGTCTGATTAATTATTCCCTTGGGCCTGGTACATGGGTGGAATAGTGGGCACCTAACCAGAATCCTAGAAGCAGGTCTTGAGTAGGCTGGAGGAGCTGGATGGACCCTAGACTTTTTTTTTTTTTTTTTTGTCGGTGTGGGTGTTGAACTCTGGGCCTGGGCACTGTCACTCAGTTCTTCAGCTCAAGGCTAGTGCTCTACCATCTGAGTCACAGCACCACTTCTGGTTTTCTAGTGGTTTATTGGAGATAAGAGTCTCACAGACTTTCATGCCCCGGCTGGCTTTGAACCGTGATCCTCGGATCTCAGTCTCCTGAGTAGCGAGGCATGAGCCACTGATGCCCAGCTCCTTTCTTCTTACTTTCTCTACCTTTCCTCCTCTTCCTCTTCCTCTCCCCCTCCTCCTTCTTCCTCCCCCTTCTTCCTCCTCCTCCTTCTTCCTCCTCTTCTTCCTCCTCCTCCTCCTCTTCCTCCCCTCTTCTCTCTTTCTTTTTCCTCTTGCACGCCTGCTGCCTGTTCAGTATTTCTCGGTATTTTCTGTGCTTCTGCACGGCAGGCTTCCTGGAGGTGGTGCTGGGGAGGTAGGTGAGGTACTCGCTTGACTAACCAGGTTGGCATCTTGCTAGAAGACTCCTGGTCCCGCGGGCCTGGCCGCTCTCGGCGCCACCCTTCCCCGCAGCTGACCTTTGCTCCGCTCACCTCCCCGCCCCCGAGCCACCAGGTTTCTCGCTTCTCCTGTCAGTTGGGCGGCCGGGCACGTCCGGGGCTGGTGACTCCAGGCCGATCCGGGCGGCGAGCCTTGGAGAGCGGGCGGAAGGCGGCGGGCAGCGCCTCACCTC